ACGTTACTATTTAAAGCAATAAGTATATATATATATATTGCTTATTTATTTTTTTTAATTTTTTTTAAAAATTTTATTTTGGCATTACCATTGATGTTCGTATAGTTAGTATAAGCATTTTAAAGATAGAAGCATTATAAATTAAATTCTAAAAAATTAAGAGACCAGAAAACATGATTTAATTAAGGATAAATACTTTTATCAAGTTTAAGTCCACTAATCAACTAGTGCGCTCATATAATGAAGGAACCTTTTCCTGTATAGAACCAGATGTCGAAAACTACTTATTGGGACCTTAGAGGAGACATCTGAGTCTCTAAGTCTAACATTATAATATCTCCTCTAAGCTAATGACGGCATTTGTCTACACAAGCCTGTACTATGGAAGATGAGTCCTGCACCTTTGGATGGAAGATGAGGCCTGTACCTTTGGAGATGAGGTAGTACCTTGGAAGATGAAGAAAGTTTGAGTTGCGTGAATAAGCAGTTTAAGATGTTACTTGATTAAAAACTTCATTCGCTTCAAAAATATGCAAATTCGAAATAATAATCGACATGTTTCAAGAGCACAAAACTAGGTGCCATTTTCTAGGCTCACCATGCGTAAATGAGAAGAAACAGAAGTAATTAGAAATATAATACATAAAGTTACCAACGAAAAATGGGAAAATAACGGTGAGATACGAAATTAGAAAAACCGCTGTAATCGAAAAAGAAGAAAGGCATTAAGGATTTGAGACATTGTGAATTAAATATTGCGAAACCAAGAGACATTAAAAATTCGTGTGTATAGAATAAGCTCGTTAAAAATAAGGGACATTATAAACTATTACAAAAACTAAGAGGCATGAAAAATGGGAAATGAAATCATTAAAATTAAAAAAATTATTAAAATTAAAATTAAATTTTTTTCCTGACGTATTCAGATTTCTGACTCATAACATATAGGGGGTAGTTGCAATTTAGGAAATATAGTCCCAATAACTTCGTCAGTTGAGCGGTCAAAAGTTCGGACCCGTTAACGTTAATTTTACTTTTTATATATTTCGCTATATCTCGAGAACTTTTAAAGCGAATTGAAAACTTTTTGCACACAATTATAAAATTCGTTTTTTCAATGTCAGTTCCATGTAAAAAATAACTTTTTGTAAATATTAATTATTTTTTATTACTTTATTTAACAATAGTCTAAAAAAGTTCGAGTTGTATGGTATACAATTTCTTACATCATTTCAAAGAATTTAATTTTAAATGTCAAAATATATGAGTTGAGCGAGAACTGCCGAAAAGTCCCTGAGAAATCAAATTTTAAAAAATTAGTAAGTCTAAAATTTCGATTTCTCAGGAACTATTAGACCGAATATCAAATAAAAGAATTTAAAAAAAACAAAAAAATATTTACAAAAACTATCTATGGATGAACGAATGGTGCAACGTGGGCAAATTTTTTCAATTTGCTTAAAAAGTGTTCTCAGATATGATGAAATACGCAAAAAATGAAATTAATATTAAGGAGTACAAATTTTGGATCACTTTAATGACCAAACTATTGAGTCCATATTTCCCAGACTGCGACTGTATATTTTGGGGGTTAGAAATCTGAATTCGTCGAAAAAAAGGCATGTTTATTGAGACAAAGTACGTTTTTGTGTCTGATTTTTTAACTTAAAATATCATTCGCATTAATTAATAAGCATATTTGCGGTCTCTCCCTCGAAACATTAAGATTGAGCCCTGAAACTTGAAAATCCGATCATTGGATTGGAAGTTATTCAAGGTGGTCCATTCATTTTTTTTAGCACTGTACATTTTCGCATTACTTTTATTTTAGTCAACTTTCACGTAGATTAATTAAATGTTATATACTAGAAAAATTACATTAATAAGCTTAAACAAAATCACATTCAGTAATAAAGAAACGTTTATGATAGGAAGTTTTTTTTTGTTGAATACTTGCCGTTTCCAAGACGTTACTATTTAAAGCAATAAGCAAAGTTTAATAATTTTCAAATTCTAGAAATGTACAATGATAAAATTTAAACTTGAATTTTTTTTCCAGCATTAATTTAGGCTACCGGAGATTGGTCGTTCTCAACAGCGCAGATGTTATAAAACAAGCTTTGCTAAAGTCTGAATTTCTCAGTCGACCACCATACGGAGCTTTTACAACATTCAAAAAAGAGAGTTAGTCATTTTAGTATTTTCTTTCTCGATGCATCTTTGTGTAAACTGGGATCGTTTAGTTTGGAAAATTTTAATTTTTTAATTCAATTTCAATTTTCTTGCAAAGTTCATTAAATATTTCCATTTCTCTTATCTGATTATATGAGTTAAAAACTATTATTTTAAAAGTTGTTTCAACCCCTTAACGATCGGTTAATTTTCAAGAAAACGGTCATAAAAGTGCCTATTTTCTTTTGCCCCTGAATATTGATTAGTGCTGACATCTAGTTTAAAATAAACTAACTAGCTGTAAGTACCTTAAAAATATCCTGGTACTGCCATCTGGTGTGTAAAATGAGAAATAAATGTCTCCCGGGCAAAAGAAATGAATTAGTTTTATTCTTTTTGGCTCGTTATTACTGAACACTCCAGCCCGGAAATATCGCGGGAGCGATAAATAGAGGGCGAAACCTCACCACGTCATTTTCACGGGAACGAGAAGGAAGAGGTTAATATAAAAAACGGTCCTTTTGGAAAATTTAGAAATAAAATCGAAGATAAATGAGACCACATATTTAAAATGAGGCGTCGAATATATTACAAAATGCGATAAGGTTGTTTTTGAAATTCAGATCTGATAACATACAATGTTTTGCATTAAACACACAAGAAAAATAGTGAAAAATAGATTAAAAAGTTAATAAATCTGACTGTCTCTTGAGTTGTTGTATTCCTTAAAAAGAACGTTCACCATTATCTGAAATATTAGTCGACCTTATTAGATCTTTTACAAAAACTAACGTAAATTATTACCAATCAGACTTAATAACATGCAATTTTCACATAATGTAAAATAACTGATGAGTCAATATCTTTATTATCTCGATTTGATATTGTCGTCACAAAAAAAGTATGCCATAATGTTAGAAATAGTTATAAATCTGATAAAAAAAACAAAGGACAATTTTTAGATTATTTATTAATTTTTTTTAACTGATCAGGTATAAGGACAGACATTTCTTTGTATGAAATACGTATATAAATTTGAGATAAGAGAATTATTATTTTTAAATGTCTCTTGAATCATACATATTTAGCCGAAAGTTCAAGTTTAGTAACTTTCACCAGAAATTTCCTCATGATTTTTTATTTGTTCTAATTGTTTAGAAGTAAGTGCGCAAAATAATAAACGGACCACCGTGGATAACTTTTGATCTGACAATCGGATCTTAACGTTTTAGGACTCAATTTTAATGGTTCGAGGGGGTGATCTCAAAGAGGAAAATTAATTACTGCAGACGATATTTTAAGTTACAAAAGCAGGCATGAAAACGTACTTTCTCTGAATAAACATATCCTTTTCGACAGATTCAGATTTTTGACCCCCAATATAGAGGACAAAATCACATTCTCGGAAATATGTTCCCAGATTGCGGTAAAAGTTGTATTTTGCATGGAATTATTTTTGGATAAATGAATTTTATAATTGTGTGCAAAGAGTCGCGATGGCTCAGGGGATAGAGCGTTCGCCTTCCAATGAAGAGAACCGGGTTTGAATCCCAGTTGATACGAATTCCGCATCCGGCTTGCACCGACCACAGTGCTGACGTGAAATGTCCTCACTGGTAGACGGATCAAGGATTAGAGTCCCCTTGCCCTCCGTCTAACCGTGGAAGGATCTCGTGGTCTTCCTCTCCATATAACGCTATAGCGGGTTAGCTCCATCAAAAAGTCCTCCACAAAGGCAAATTTCTCCCAATACTCGATCCAGGAGTTCCCTTGTCTTCTAGATTGGGTTCAAAATTATAAGGCTATGGAGTTGAACATTAGTAGTCGTAAACCCATAAAATTGGGTCGGCTATTTAACGATGGTTATAAGAATAAAAATAAAATTGTGTGCAAAGGGGAATTTTATAATTGTGTACAAATCATTATAATTGTGTGCAAAGAGGAATTTTATAATTGTGTGCAACGGGGCCGGGATAGCCTGGTTGGTAGTTCACTGGGCCCATGTCGAAGGGAGCATGGGTTCGATCCATGTTGGCCGAAGACTCCCCGTGCAGTAAATGGTGACTGGTGTGCGTTAAATCTATTTGGTCGCAAAGTCCTCCATATTCCCATAACAAATCAATATCTCTGGGGGTACTGATCCAGGAGCTCCCTTGTCTTCTGGATTGGGACCGAAATTACAAGAATGCGGAGTTGAACATAGGTAGTAGTAAACCCAGCATTGAGTTGGCTGTTCAACGACGGATATAAAATAATAAATAAAAAAAAATTGCGTTCAAAAATTTTTCAATTCGCATAAAAATTTCTTGAGACATAGCAAAAAATAAAACTGATATTAAATTCTCCAACTTAAGACCACGCCCTGACCAAACCATGATAACTATATTTCCCAGATTGCAGCTACCCCATCACCTTGGGGTAAGAAATCCGAATCCGCTGAAAAAAAAGTATGTTTATTCAGAGAAAGTACATTTCCGTGTCTGGTTTTGTAACTTAAAATATCGTCTTCCTTAATTAATTAGCATATTTGAGATCAAACGTGTCGAACCATTACGATTGAGTAATAGAACGTGAAGCAATTAGATCAAAAATTATTCAGGATGGTCCGTTTTTTATTTTGCGTACTGTACATGAAATACTCCATTGGTAATAAAGATTTAAATCACTATATATTTAAGACTTAGAAAGTAAATAATTTTTGTCGTTTATCGTCGCAAGTTGTATAGAGTTTTTTTTCATGATGAAATATGAAGCTAACTTTAAATCAAAGAATATAGAAAGGAAAAGAAGTCCAGCTCTTCGAATGCATAACTAAAGCAAAGAATTGCTCTGTGCGGTATGCTGTATCAGAAATACCACTCATAAGACAATGTCTCGTGAAGTAAGTAGGCTTTGAATACGCTATACTTAACACGAATATTAAGAAATTATTTAGCTACTAGGAGGAGTGCAATGAAGCAAAGTTAACTGCTTTTTTCACAACAATAACTTTGAATATACAAAAATACACTTAGTACACTTTTTTAGTCTATTAACTTCTAACCACATCAACATAAATTTTTATTAGTCTCTAAACAATGTCTTTATATATCAATATGTATATCTATATATTAAAAATGTAAAATTCTGACTGTAACCTGGTGCAATGAAACATTGGAAACAATCTAAGAAAAATTAAATTTTTAATAACCATAGACTAATTTACTTTTACTGCGCAGTACGCTAAATACAAATGCTGAACTTGAATAATGAAATAAAATAAAAAAATAAATAAATAAATAAATAAAATAAAAATAAAAAAAAAATTAAAGAAAAAAGATTTATGTATAATTTTATATAAATAAAATAACATGCTTCTATCATATTACGAAATATTTTTTTCATTTTACATTGAATGGTCTCAAGTCAGTTTCAGAAGTTAGCATTTATGCTTTGCTTTCAGTTGCTCCTAAAGATATGGAACGTGCTAGTATTTTAAACCTGCTAATGTATCCAAATTACATCAGTAATTGAAACATGTAATTGTATACTATTACATTTGAACTGCAAATTTCCATAATAAAATCTTTTTCGATGTACTCAGTCTTTCTCTGTATTTTTCGACAAAAAAATAATTTTATCGCTATATAGTAATTTTCAGAAAATTTCTTTTTCAAACGAATTAAAAAGCGAGTTTTATTTTTGTGGTTAAAGATAAGAATCACCTACTCAATAATTTAAGCAGCTTATGTAATTTGATGTTGAGTTTAGCGAACAAATAAAACAAAACGAAATGCTGCTCGTTAAACTGACGTGATTTTGACGCAGCACAAGAAAGTAAAGTTTGGAAGAAACTTTCTCCAAGTGTGGTAACTAGCTTAGCTAATCTTCTTTCTGTCAAACCCAATCTGGTAAACGTTGAATGTGCTTTTCATAATACTTTATGATAGATACATAGACGCTAATCTGGGGTTAATAAGAAATAAAAATATAAACATTTGCTATTATTTTTAAAGCTATGAATCAGCGAACTATTGAATAATTATATTTCCTTTTCATGTAGGTCCTTTCTTCACAAGTCCTATTCATGTCTGGCAGGAGCAGAGAAAGTTTGTGGTGCAGTCCATGAAAGATTTAGGATTAGGCAAATCGAAAATCGAAGAACATGTTAAGGTACTTAAGAGATATAAAGAACAGCAAATATCTTGGCCATGATAGTGGCATTTTAGGTTTTAAAAACAATATGGCAGTGCTCCCCTATCTTGTTATCGCCGTGGACCGGTCAACGTTTGATAATTTTACCGTGGCCCGCTGAGAGTAGAGGCGTTGATTCATATTTTGGATTGTTTTTATTTACTAACTTTAATTTGATTGTATTTAAATATGCATATGCAAAAAAAAAAAAAAAAAAAAAACAATTGTACGCGTGGTATTGGTGGGACCTCAGATGACGTCTCTCATCTCCTGGTTAACCTCTTGTCCATGAAAAGTCGTACAAACCTGAGACAAATACACCACAGTAATAAAATGAAAATAATTTAATGTTCCTTGGGCGGCCCGGTACCATTTTATCCTTGGCCTGGGGGTTGGAGGCTACTGCAATAAGGAACTTTATTTTTTCAAAGCGTAATATGATGTGTAGAGTGTTAAGTGTAATATTAAAAGTGTTTGAAGTGATGTGTTTTAATGTGCTATGTGGGAATAATCAGGGCCGGATTACCCATTAGGCCAGACTAGGCCATGGCCTCTTGCCCCCAATGGTCAGGGCCCCCCTTAGAATGGATTTTTCAAAAATAAATTTAAAAAATTGATTTTTCAAATTTTTTCAAACTTTTATGATTATGTTTTAGTTTTAATTTAATAAAATCAAGTAAAATTTAATTTATTATTATTTATTTTAATATTAAATATGCTTTCTTAAATGAAAAGATATATAAATACTTTTATATTTGAATAAATAAAAAATATACGGGAAAAAATTTAATCTAAGGGCCCCAAAATTTTAAATGGCCTAGGACCCCGCATTCGCTTAATCCACCCCTGGGGAATAATTCAGTTGAGGATCAGGCTCTATTGGCAATAAATTGTTTTAAATTACAGTTTATGGCGCAATATCTTCAAAAGTACCGTTAAAGGAAAAATTATAAAGTATTGTCGGGATAAGTGAAACAAAACCAGTCTTACCAAGTTTCTCGATTTCTTGATTAAAAACTTCATTCACTTCAAAAATATATTAAAAAAAACAGTGCGTGGAGTCCCTCCGCGCGGAAGAAGTTAAACTTCGCAACCTGCGACGTTAATTGTAGAAGAATCAGCAGTCGTAGAAGGATCACTAGTTCTATTCAACGACTCTTTTTCCTGCCCCGCTCGTCTCCGTGCTCTGTAATCACGGTAATATTGTGCATTTTTCCCTCGTGGACCTCTTGAACCAGTGGAAGTGCTTGATGTTGCCTCATCGTCTCGCCCTGGATAATGTATTTGTATTAATAATGTATGTGAATGCGTCATAATGTAATTTCAGAAGAGAAAACCTAACAATCAATTGATATTCACAAGAGACGTACCTTAACATAACCTTAAATCCGTCGCATTGTCCGTGGGATTGTTTCCACTCATTTTTTACTATTGTTATCCACTAAATTTGAAAGTAAAAAATACTATCCTATTAAATTGTATGTGTATCAAATCAAACTAAAAAAATATTTATAGAAGAACAATACTTTTATGACTTTTATTATTTTTATGCTAGTGAGAACCAAAACAATAGGGAAATGAATGAGGGAAAACTGAATCCTCCCACGTGATTTCCCGGCTAATAAAAATGTAGCGTTAAACGTTTAACGCAACCTTGTTGGAATTCGCATAAGAAGTTAAACTTCAAAAATACTACCCTATTAAATTGTATGTGTATCAAATCAAACTAAAAAAATATTTATAGAAGAGCAATACTTTTATGACTTTTATTATTTTTATGCTAGTGAGAACCAAAACAATATGGAAATGAATGAGGGAAAACTGAATCCTACCACGTGATTTCCCAGCCAATAAAAATGTAGCGTTAAACGTTTATCGCAACCTTGTTGGAAGTCGCACAAGAAGTATAACTTCAAAATAGGAAGAGCATAAATAGAAATTAAGCGAAATTAATTTTACCCCATCAACAATTGTCGTAAAACACATGCATTTATACATTTCATTCCAGTTTTTTTGTCCTTGTACTGGTTTTCCCAACCTCAGCCTTACAAGCTTTCGGAATTATTAAGCCTCTTTTTTAAAATTTATTTAGGATGAAATATGTGCCTTTGTAGAAGTACTGAAATCTCACAAAGGAAAAACAATGAATCTCAAAGTTCCCTTAGCTCCAAGCATGTCCAACAATATTTCAGCATTGGTGTTCGGTCAACGATATCAGTATGATCATCCAGACAGAATACGCTTGGACCAAAATGCAGAGGACATCAACAAGCATCTCGGACAAACTGGCTTATTGCAACTCTTTCCGTGGATGCGATACATTCCTTTTGTTAAAGGACAACAGTATAAAGAGGCTTATTCAGCATTTGAGAGTACGCAAAATTTGTTTAGGTGAGTTACATTTTCTCTTTCCATCGGCTTTAAGCCTCGATAATCGTAAAAATAAACACAGCATATAAATTATCGTTATGAAGATTAATATAAAGTTAATTCTAATATAAATGCCTATTGCATTTGGACATACCATTATGAAGCTGAATATCAAGTTAGGCAAACAATGAATGCCAATATCATGCATTTAAATTATTACCTATTATAAAACTGAAAATCAACATAATGCAAAAATAAATGCTGATAACATGTAGTTGGATGATAATTACTGTAATAACAAAAATAAAAATAATTATACCATATACAGGATGTTTCATATCGACAACTCATACGTATTTTTAGAATCCTTCTAGAAATGAAAACCAAAAATTTGTTTACCTTATGAATTGCAAATTAGTATTTAATCCAGGTAAAAACACATACAGGGTGATTCATAAAAGATGGGCAAAATTTTAGGAAGTGATAGTACACACCCAAGCAAACATTTTTTTATCAAAGAATGCATGGTCGAAAACAAAACGCAAAGGAGATGGCTCATTTGGAAAGTTGTTTCATGCAAATGAAAAAGCTCCATTCCTGTTGCGAGTTACCACGCTGCGAGTTATTATTTGTATGTTATGGGAAGAAGAGCCTTTAGCCTGGTGGTCCTTCAGCTTGGCCACAGCGCTCGCCAGATCTTTCATGTCTCGATTTCTTTCAATGGGGGCAGCTGAAGGCTCTTATGTATAAGACTCCCATTGAATCTGCAGAAGAACTTGTCTCCAAGCTTTCGGCAGCTGCAGGGGAAGTTCGAGATATGCCTGGTGTGTTTTGGAATGTTCTCCAATCTTTTCCTCGCCGTTGTACTGAGTGCTTAGCAGCTGCCAGCCACTGTTTTGAACGCTTATTGTAATCACATTCCACTAAATTTGCTTTTATAACTTAACTTTATCGTTCTTTGTGTGTTTTTACCTCATATAAGAACATAACTTTTGACTCCCTCTAACGGTTTTGGGTTTTGTTTTCAGCCATGCATTCTTTGATAAAAATTGTTTGCTTGGGTGTGTACTATCACTTCCTGAAATTTTGCCCATCTTTTATGAATCACCCTGTATACTAGAAGAACATGGCAAATCACAGTTTAAGGTAATGGGTATGATAAATACCAAAAAAAGGTTTGATGTTTATTAAACTCGTAAATGAATATTGGTTCATATTTATTGTGAAGAAAAATCGTGAATGATCCAAGTTCAAGTTTTATAATGATTGCTAAGGTATTGGAGACTTGCTTTTAAGTATGCAAAGCGTATTCACCAATTTTAAACATTTTTTTAAATGAAAACTGTCAAATTACATTTATATTGATGAGTGGCGCAACTACCACTGTAAATATTAAATGCCAATTCGCTAGTATATAAGACATGTTAACTGGATTCAATCTTGAAGTACCTTTTGATAGATGAAAGTTGACATAGCCGATAAATAAATCCCTTCAATGGCGACCTGTGTACGTGATATGAACTTGTCAATAATGATGGATGGTCCACATTAAACAGTTGATTTGCTTAAAAATATACTGCTCAAAAAACAAAAAAAATTCGGTGAAGTAAATAAAGTCTCCCGGTACTAAACAATATTGAAAAAAAAAGAGCAAAATGCTATAAAATATGAAGAAAAAGTATAATGAGCAAAAATGGTATAAATAAATAAAATGCATAAATCAACTAGTGGTATCCGTTCATCAAATTCTATCACAGATAAATTTCTAGAAGGGGAGTAATTTGGTGTAACTACCACTATAAATATTAAATACCAATTCACTAGTATATGAGGCATGTTAACTTGGTTCAATCTTGAGGTACCTTTTGTTGGATGAAGGATGACATAGTCGATAATCATAATCCCCTTCAGATGTTTGGATGTTAGGTGCTCCGCAAACATTGCCTGAATATTCACATGTTAAAACTTTAGTCAAAATGAGAAGAAAAAAAATACTAATTAGTGATTTCAGATTAATATTTAAGTGAGAAAAAGGTTATAAGAATCTGATCTATCATTCTCGCGTAATGATGGTTAAGCGCAATTAAAGCTGAATAAAAAACATCAACGTTAGTTTGATTATCGGATGATCTCAAAAGCGTTTTGTTTCCCCTTCAATTTAATATAATAGTCTATGATTTTAGATTCGATGATTTTAAATGCGGTTCCATTTTGTTTGACCCTGATAATGATCTGCTAGATTGTGATTTTTTTTTTTCAATTAACCTTAATTCGCATATTTTTGCTTTGCTTTTTTTTTTTTTAACAAAGATTCAAAAAACATATACTACCGATGGTGTTTACGGAACATTCTAAATTAATAAAATATTATTCGTTTATACAAAAAGAATATTATAGCTAAAAGAACAGAATATTATAGTTATAAATTAAGATTCAAATATGAAGATTATTAAAAAAATAACTATAGGTTTTCCCTTGAGAATTGCGTCGTTATTTTGCAGTTTTACAGAACACCTCGAATTTTCATAATGAAATATAAATTGTTTCAAGTAAAAGTATTTTATAGTTTTAAGAGGCTTTTATTAAGATACAGACACACAAAATATTATAAAGATGTATTGATTTAAAAATTTTTCCTAATTTGTTTAGTCATTATATTCTTGTTTCTCTTATTTTTTTCAAACAGTAAGTACATAGAAGAGCATAAAAAAACTTTGGATTCTCAAAATATTCGGGACTATGTAGATAGATATTTATTGGAAATGGATTCCAGGAAGCGAAATGATCCCAAAACGACTTTCAATGGTAAGCATTATTTGTTTAACCCCTTCCTTCTCGCTCCCATGAAAATGACGGGGTGAGGTTTCACCCTCTATTTCTCTCTCCCGTAAAATTTCCGGGCTGAAATGTTCAGTAGTAACTCGCCAATAAGAATAAAACTTATTCATTTCTTTTGCCCGGAAAACATTTTATTTCTCATTTTACACACCAGATGGCAGTACCAGGATATTTTTAAGGTAATTGTAGATAGTTAGCTTATCTTAAACTAGAGGTCAGCACTAATCAGATACCTGTATTTGGCAAAATAGGCACTTTTATGACCGTTTTCTTGAAAATTAACAGATCGTTAAGGGGTTAAAATGTTTATCAAAATGTATTGTCAAAAATGTTTTTAATATAGTAAAAAAGTATTGATTTTACTTTTTTGATCATATTCACTTTTTTAAACGTTAACATATGGATGGTGTTTTCAGTAGAAATGTAAACAATAACAATCTCAAGCTGTATGCCTGCTCTAGTTCCGGTTAGAAAGTTTGCAGCTGCTTACTACAGGTTATTCTGCGAGACGATATTTTCAAACGGATAATTTTGTTTTCAATAAAAAAAATAAATTAGATTATTTCTGAGCTCAAATCTGCCGTATTTCATAATATAATAATGTTATTATGTAATTCTGGTGAGTTTGAAGTGAAAATTTGTTTTAGTTATTTAGAGATTTATTGTTAAAAAAGGTGACATGGTTGCTAGACTTTGAATAACTTTACTTTTTTGGCAGTCTTGATATGGCCTCTTTCCTTAAGTTTATTACTGTTTATTCTTGTTGCGAGCTGTGCCAACACCTCCTAGAATAAGGAAGGCCTCAGCACGGATCAATTTAGTAGTTCGATGTGACGAAGTTAACTGCGCAGTTGATGAAAAATAAGAAAGATGTCATTACGTTCGGGGTACTAAGCTGCGCAGTGTTTGAAAATACGAAATATGTCATTACGTTTGGACTACTAAAGGATATTTATGGTAACCCGTGCAGAGGCCTACTCTTTTCTAGGAGGTGTTGGCTGTGCACCATCATACGTTAGTGTTAACACTTTTAGCATTGTAAACACAAATATTGTTAACATTGTAATCACAAGTAATAAGTAATCAAATACATTGTTTGCAAGAATCTCAAAACACAATGATGCCAAATGGCTTTAAAATACAATGGAAACAGTAACCCTGAAATTTCGGCGGTACCGAGCTTGCAGCGTTCCCTAGTGTAGAAAACACCATCCATTAACAGTTAGAAAGGAAAATAATTTATTTTTAGCGAACAAAATAACGCACTGACAGGTAGCACTATGAGGTAGAAACAAGTTATTTTACTTATGTTCAGCTCTCACAGAGATTTCAGGGTATGAAGATGTGTCGCCTTACTCAAGTTTTTCTGCAGAGAGGGAAATTACGCAATTATAATACGTAAATCACTCTTGGGAGAGTTAACCCATTGAGAAACAGTTAGTGTTACATTTGTTTTTAGTATATTGTAGTAATTCTGTTTCTTGACGGTATTTTTTTCCCATAGAAACCACGCTAGTGGATAGTTCTATGGATTTGTTTGGAGCCGGAAGTGAAACAGTTTTCACATCCATCTTATGGTGTGTTTATATAATGGCAACGTATCAAGATATACAGAAACGAGTGCAGAAAGAAATAATGGATGTCATAGGTCCTGATAGGATGGCAGAATTATTAGACCAGAAATCAATGCCTTTTGCTCATGCGACCATCATGGAAGTTCTACGTTGGATAACTATTGTGCCATTAAATCTTTTGCATTAGTAAGTACGCATTGATGTTTTTAAAATTAAATGAAACCACCAACAACAAAGAAATGTTTTAGTCGGCAGGACTGAAAAAAACTTCAGTCTAATTAAATAGAATTTAGCATTACGTAGTCTGTTTAGAAAGGAACAAAAGAAGGCAAAAGTCCCGCAGTGGACTGATCGATAAGACACGGTTTCCAGCAGATCACCGAAGTCAAACATCACTGGCTGCGGTCAGTGGGCGGGTGGGTGATCACTTGGATCAGTCTCCGTAGGGACCGAGGGTGTGCGGTATTGGTCCTCGTTAAACTGTGCTACCGTAAAGTGCTCGACTTCACGCACTGGTCGTCGGGCTACCGAAGCGGGGGTGCCATCCCCTCCGCAGAGGATCAAAATTGTGATGGCATGTCTTCGGATCATCCTCCGGGATGTTTCCCAGACAGTCGCCAATAGCCCATTGTGCAGCGCTAGTGCGACGTAAATTAACAACAACAACAAAAAGAAGGCAAAAAATGTTTTCGAAAATAGTATCTTTCATTAATGTATTCAATGCTTGTCTGAAATTAAATAATTAAGAAAATTGGTTGATATCAGATAAAACTAACTACAAAACGAAATTAACAATCTAAAATGCATTTTACAGTTTCACGTCATTTGAGTGTAGCTGAAGGAAAAAATTCTTCCAAACTTAGCACATTCTTGAAAAAATTGGTTCAATATTAAATTAACTTAAACCACAATATCGAAATGTTTTAGTTCAAGTTGAACCATAATGTACTAATTGAACCATTTAAACAAGTTGAACCATGTAAACAAGTTGAACCATGTAAACAAGTATAAAATAGGTTTCTAATCATAATAATATTATTTCAACTCGGTACCTTTTCTTGGTTGTAGCGAATTTGCATGATACTAAGGTTCAAGAGACTCAAAAATTTCTAACAGTGCATAATGTTTAAACATTTAACTAATTTCAAATAAATTTCAAGTATAAATATTTCTAAAAAGTGTTCCCTTTGTAGTACTACAGTGGATACTACTCTTGGTGATTATTTCATACCACGTGATACAGCAGTAATAGCTAACTTTTGGGCAGTTCATCATGATCCAAAATACTGGAATGATCCTGATGTTTTCAAACCAGAGAGGTTTTTGTCAGAAGATGGAAAGTCTGTTGTTAAACCTCCGAATTACATGCCTTTTTCTCTGGGTAAGTCGAGAGATTTTATTTTAAATGTTTTTGAAATGAATGCTTAGAATATGAATGATTCTCGCAATAAAGTACTGACAAGGGAAACTAGGGAAGTGTGACACACCAATTTTGAAATAAACTAGTGGGATGTATGCCTTATGAGGAATAATTTTAGGGGGCAACATTCGTTTCGGCCCATAGAAGGTTCTGTGAGAGATAAAAAATAATTCAATATAAGGAAAATTCGGTATTTTATTACTTCAATGCAGGGCTCGAAAAACAGCCCGTCCGCCCGTCCTTGGCGGTCAAAAATTCCCCGCGGACAACAAATTTCTCGAATCCAACGTCCGCGTGGACGGCCATTTTCCCGTTAATGTTCGTGATATATTTTCAATTTTTGTTATCTTACAAGAGTCTAGCTCCTCACTTCTAAAATTACCCTCTAATCTCGAAATACAGCAACATATCAGGGCTCGAAAAACCGCCCGTCCTCGGCGGTCAAAAATTCCCCGCGGACAACAAATTTCTCAAATCCAGCGTCCGCGTGGACGGCCATTTTCCCGTTAATGTTCGTGATTCATTTAAAATTTTTGTTATCTTACAAGAGTCTAGCGCCTCACTTCTAAAATGACCATCTAATCTCGAAATACAGCAACATGCTGCGCATGGTGGAATTGATGTTTTCTTTGTCTGGGAGTACTGCAGCGGTTGAAAGGGGCTTTTCAGCAATGAACTTATAAAAAAACACATTACTTAGTGGTCTTAAACAAGAAGCGTTAAACGCATTTATGAACATCTACCTAAATGGAAAACCTCTTTCAGATTTCTGTGCAGAAATCTCTGTAAATCATTGGCTTGATTGTGGAACTGGCAAACGTCATATTTGATTCATGGGAATGATTTAA